AATGTTCCATGTCACTTGATAAGAATGTATATTCTTTAGCTTTGGGGTGAAATATTTTGAAAATGTCAATTAAGTCCATCTGATGTAGTGAGTCATTTAGGATTGTTGTTTCTTTGCTGATTTTTTTTATTTAGAGTATTTATCCAGTGATGTCAGTGCGGTATTAAAGTCCCCTACTATGACTGTATTGCTATCATTCTCTCCCTTGATATCTTCCAGAAATTGTTTTTTGTATTTGGGTGCTCCTGTATTGGGTGCATATATGTTTACCAGAGTTTTATCTTCTTGTTGAATTGCTTCCTTTAGTATTATGTAGTGACCTTCCTTATCTCTTGTATGATCTCTATTTTGAGGTCTATTTTGTCAGATGTAAGTATTGCAACCCCAACTTTTTTTTCCTTTCCATTTGCCTGAAATTTTTTTTTCCAATCCTTCATTCTCAGTCTGTGAGAATCCTTCGTTCTGAGGCGGATCTCTTCTAGACAGCAAATATATGGGTCATGTTTTCTTATTCATTCAGCTTCCCTATGTCTTTTAATTTAAACGTTTAATCCACTTATGTTTAATGTTATTATTGATAAGTACTTGTTTGTCATCTTTTTTATTTATTTTTATTTTCATTTTTATTGATTTATTTTTAATTTTAAAAAATATATTTTATTGATTTTTCACAGAAAGGAAGAGAGAGGGATAGAAAGTTAGAAACATTGATGAGAGAGAATCATCGATCAGCTGCCTCTTGCACACCCCCTACTGGGGATGCGCCCGCAACCAAGGTACATGCCCTTGACAGGAATCAAACCCGGGACCTTCAGTCCTCAGGCTGACGTTCTATCCACTGAGCCAAACCAGTCCCAGCCTTTTTTATTTTTAATGTCGGTGTTTCTTTTTGCCTTCCTGTTCCTTTTCCTTTTTTTTTTTTTTTTTTTTTTTTTTTTCTCTCTAGCAGTCCCTTTAGCATTTCTTGCATTTCTGGCTTGGTGGTAATAAAACCTCTTAGCCTTTTTTGTCTGTGAAGTTCCTGATTCCATGTTCAATTTTGAATAATAGCCTTACTGGGTATAGTATTCTTGGATTTAATCCCTTGCTTTTCATCACTTTGTATATTTCATTCCATTCTCTTCTGGCCTGGTGTGCTTCTATTGAGAAATCAGTTGATATTCTAATAGGATATCTCTTGTAGGTAACTTTCTGTCTCTCTCTAGTAGCCTTTAAGATTCTTACTTTGTCACTGGTGTTTACCAATTTAATTATGATGTGTCTTGGTGTTGGTCTTTTGGGGTTCATCTTGTTTGGGACTTTATGTGCTTTTCAGACTTGCCTAGTTTTTTTCTTGCCAATATCAGGGAAGTTTTCTGTCATTATTTCTTCAAACAGGCTTTCTATTCCTTGCTTCACCTCCTCTCCTTCTGGTACCCCTATAATGCAAATGTTGTTTTGTTTTATGTTGTCCCAAAGCTCCCTTAGGCCTTCCCCTTGGTTTTTAAATTTTCTGTCCAGTTGCTGCTGTTTTTGTGTGTTTTTTTCTACCTTGTCTTCTAATTCACTGATGCGATCTTTAGCCTCTTCTAGTCTACTGTTTAAGCCTTCTATTGTGTTCTTTATTGCAGCTATGTCATTCTTCGTTTACTCTTGGTTCCTTTTCATGGTGGCATTTTCAGTTAGCTCCTTATAATTCTCATTGAGTTGTATATATTTATCCTTGCGTTTTGTGTTTTGTCTCCAGTCATTTGAGCATCCTTATAACCATTACTCTGAATTCTTTCCCTGAAAAGTTACAAGCCTCATTTTCATTTGACTCCCTTTCTGGTGATTCCTCTTTTTATTTCCTTTGGGGATTTTTTTTTTTTTTTTTTTTTTTTTTGTCTTCCAATGTTTTGCTGTAATGTTTTAATCATAGATCTGATTGTTTTGCTACCAGGTTCTTTTAGGAATGGTGCTAATGTTGTGATCTATCAGGTCTCCTGGGATTGGTAATATAGTGTAGCTCCCTACTTGAGCTATTTGGGTTCTCTTGATGTATGCCTGCAGGCTGGAAAGGTGCAACTGTGGTGTCTAGAAGTCAGCAGCCATGAAAGGGGTGTTCCAATTTTTGCTGTCTTGCACCCTTGTTTGAAATTCCAAGTTCCCAGCAGCAACTCACAGTGATACCCAGGAACCATATTGTTGGGGTATTGGGGCTTAGGAGGCCTGTGCTCTGGAAAGGCATGGCTGTGGTGTCCAGAATCCTGTAGTTGTGGTGTGGGCAGACTCAGCTTGTGCTGCTGTCTCCATGGTTGGATACACATACCCCCAGTGGTGGCTCACAGGGGCTCCCATGGTGTATTTGCCAGCATGGTGTACTGATGTACTCTAAAGGGCCTGGTGCAGAAGCCATGTGATTGTGGTGTCGGTGGGCAGGTATCCCAGAAGAGGGAATTCAGAGTTTCTACAGCCCAGCAGTATGTTTATGTTTGTATAATAGTGCTCCCAGAAGGGGCTCACAGTGGCACCCAAGGGCTGTCTATGGAATGGTGGGCTTCGCAGGCCTGTGTGCTGGAAAAGCATGTGACTGTGGTGTCCAGAGTTCTGCAGCTGTGAGGTGGGAAGACTCAGTTTTTGCTGCTACACTTATGGTGGCAACTCACAGGGGCACCCACAGTGTCTTTGCCAGCATGGTACCCTGAAGCACTCTGTAGAGCCCTGGCACTGAAGCCACACAATTGAGGTGTCTGTGTGCAGGTATCCTGGATGACTGAATTCAGAATTCCTACTGCTGGGGGAGTGTATCCATGTTATCCAAGATCATACCTAGTGGGGGCACACAGTGGCTCCCAAGAGTGCCCTGTGGATTGATGGGATCAGGGGGCCTGCTCACTGAAAATGCATGACTGTGGCAGTACTACTTGCCCACACAGAGCTCTCACACACTCTGGGGGGGCCCTGGGGCTGAGGTTGCACAGCTGGGGTGTCTATTTGCAGCTATTCACGAAGAGGGAATTCAAATTTCTACTGAAGGACAGTGCACCCTTATCTGTACAAAACCACACTCAGCAGGGGCTCACAGTGGTTCCCAAGAGCTGCCTTTGTAGTGGTGTGCCCAGGAGGCCTGCTCACTGAAGATGTGCATCTGTGGTGTCCAGACGTCTTCAGCTGGGGAGGGGGGAAGTTTCACTTACTGCTGTGGGAGTGGTGCCCCCTTGGAGGTGGAGGTCCCAGGATCTGCAGGACTGTGGGTGGGGCAGCAGGATTTTGGCTGGAGTGGAAGCTGAGTCATGGGCAGTGTCCAAGGTCTGTCTGGGTGGTGGCGCTGATGAGTTTCTAGAAGTGGCTGCTCTCCCCTTCAAGATGGTGTAGGCTAAGTGCCCGAGCCCCACAGTCTGGAAAGTGCCTGCAGTGATGGTAGTCTCTCTCTGTCCAAGAGAGCCTGGTTTGCTAGCCCCTGATGCTCCTGCTGGATTTAACTGTCCTTCACTCATTCACACATATACCACACACTCTCCTTTCATCTCCTCACTTACTCACTTCCTCTCCCTCACCTCCATCCTGCCAGCACCATCTTTTTAGAGTTTCACTTTGAATATTTCTTGCCAATTTCTCCTGGCCTTCAAAGTTTCTTTTGAGAAATCAGCTGAATATCTTATGGAAACTCTGTTTTAGGTAACTTACTACTTTTATTTTGCTGCTTTTAAGATACTTTCTTTGTCTTTAACCTTTTGCATTTTAATTGAAATGTGTCTAGGTGTGGGCCTCTTCAGGTTCATCTTGTTTGGGATTTTGGGCAAAATAGAAACAAAACCCACATTCCTTTCTGGATTTTCTCTACTCTAAGCCAAGTATTTATAGTTATTTTTTTGCAATATATGTCTCAGAATTACCCAACAATCTTATCATTTTCCTCTAGGAATGTTATGAATCAGTAAATGAATCTTTTCTTTAATCTAGCTTGATATAAGAAATTATTGTATATAATAAAAGTCTAATATGCTAAGTGTTCAGTCATACAGTCATCCATTCAACCAATCAAAATGTAATGTGCTAATGATATGCTGAGGCTGCTCAACTGCTCGCTAGGACATGCACTGATCACCAGGGGGCAGACTGTTGACTGGTTGACTAGTCGCTAAGACATGTAGTGAGCACCAAGGGGCAGATGCTCTGATTGGTAGGTTAGCTTGCTGCTGAGGTGTGGGCAGATTGGGACTGAGTGAGACAGGCCAGACACATCCTAAAGCCCTCCCACAGCCTCTCCCTGCCTCACTAACTGCCTGCATCCTTCCCTAGCCATGATTTGCACTGGTGCAGTCCTTCAGCCTGGCCTGTGCCCTCTTGCAATCCAGGACCCCTTGGGGTATGCCAGAGAGCTGGTTTCAGCCTGATCTCGCAGGACAGAACGAAATACCCCACCGGTGCATGAATTCGTGCACCGGACCTCTAGTAGTTTAATAAGAAGTGTTGTCTAGCCTTGAAATGATATTTCTCACACTTCAGTAAGCTCCCTAGAAATAAATATTCAAGTAAAGATTATCTGAATAGCTGGGATGCTCTGGAGAAGAGCCTTGTATTATAACTTAAGGCTTTTACATCTATAAAATTCTTGGCTTCCAAGGCACATTTTGTTGTGTGAACTAACAATAGTTTCCCAACACTAGTATTTTGTTGGTCCCATAAACTTTAGACCCTTAAATATTTACATATTAGTGACCAGGCCCCTACTCTTTCTAGATCTTATTTCCAGGCTAATTACATGCTGCACCGAATGGGAGAAGTAAGAAGAGGTCATTCTTCCTAACCCTGCTCTGTCCCTAGCCAAAATGACTGTGAGCACTGATTCCTGGCTTTATCTTTACCCACATTCTTGCCCTTCATGCCTGAGCTCTGACAGAGGTTGAATATCTCTATGTAGACAGAGCAATAAGACCTTTAAAAATTTTTTCTGTACCCAGGGATACATTGTTCTTATTCCACTGTATCCCTAAATTCCTCCTTCCTTATTCTTTTTCTCTTTGACTCTTTTTCAGATATACAAAACAATTGCCACATTTTTGGGGAAATGGGGTTGGAGTGTTTACCATTGCTGATGCATGCTAGTATCTTTCCTATCTACTGGTATCTGCGAGATAAAGGTAAGTGAAACTAGAAAAGTGGGATATTTTTTTAGGTCATCTCTTCTTTGGCTGGTACCCTCTTCACTAGAAGGCATTTTCATAAAGCTTAGTGACATTTAAAGTAACAGGAAGAAGGGACAGAGTTCAAGTGATATCTAAAAGTCTTCAGATTCTGTTCCCTGAACTGTTAGAGGCCAAAGTTTTAGGCAGTACTGATTGTGTATGTCTGCCACTACTCATGGTGATATTTGCTGTGCACCAAGGGAAAGATAGATTTGTTCAGATTTTATGGACATTTAATTCAAACTTATGAAGTCCAGACACTCATTTACAAAACACAGTTACTGATGTCACCTATATGTTGGTTCTAAACCCATGATTCAAAACATTTTTGAATTATGGATCTTTGAAAAATTAATAAAAAATATAAAATCATAATTTTATTTATTTTATTTTCTACTCAGTATCAAAACTATTGAAAGCTTATCATTTTGCCTATAGATAAAGATATAGATATAGATATAGATATAGATATAGATATAGATATAGATAGATAGATATAGATGCTATTAGAACTGTAATTGTAATATATTAGAGGCCTGATACATGAAGATTTGTGCAAGAATGGGCTTTTCTTCCCCTGGCTGCTGGCACTGCCTTCACTCTGGCCCAGAGCTACCTTTCTGCCTTCCCACACTGTCCAGAGGCCTAGAGAGGCTGGCGGGGAGTTGGGGGGGTGCGGAACACCTGTGTCATTGCCATGGTGATGACATAAGCATCCTGCCTCACCTCCAGCTGCTTGGTGCCTGTGTATGCAAATTGACCCACCACCTTTGTTGGGATAATTTACATACTCGCTCCTGATTGGCTGTTGGATGTCGCAAAGATATGGTCAATTTGCATCTTTTTTATTAGTGTACATCATGTACTTTATTATGATAGTATCTGGTAATTAGCAATACCTTTCATTCACTTGCAGTTTCTGGGAGTTATTTACATAAGACAATGACAAGATAAACAAAAAGATCACTTTATTATTTGGGAGAGTTTTTTCAAATCTATTACTGAACTAGCCCCAAACAAAGCCCATTACATATATTTTCACCTCCAGTTACAAACCCAATCCTCAAACCTTAAGAAATAAATGAGTTGAGAATACAATCCAATCAGGATTAATTAGAAAGTAGTAATATGTAAGAATGTATAAGATGGTACTCTTTTTCCAACATTATGGGGAAATCTAACTACCAAAAACACCCTCTGATAACAATATATGTGCTGCAACATCTATATCTATCTACCAATCTATATCTATCTACCAACAATTATTTTCAAGTTATTTTTTAGCTATTTAGAAGCATTCCTAAAGGAAATTCTTCATATAGAGGAAAATAATACAGAAGGAAATTTGGATGTTAGGAATTAAAGAAGAGTAGGAAAAATGGTAAACATCTAGGTAAATCTATTAGATATTCTTCTCCTATTGAGTTCTTAAGAAATCCCAGTCAGGGCACACACCTGTACCATTAGATATTTCTCTTCATGTTGATCCATCACTTGGCACTGGACACAGGGAAGGACAAAAGAAGAATACAGCAAAGTGGATTTTTTAGTCCATGGAGGGTGCTATAACATATTGAGTAGCTTAGAAATAGAATTGACTCAATAATGAATACAAATGGAATCATTAGATGGGATGATTAAAATTATAAAAAGGAAAGTGAAGTTATTAAAGATACATTATAAGAAAACAAAAGAAGAGTGGAACTGTGTAGATAAAATAGAAAGGTCAAATAAGCACAGAAAAATGTTAGAGATTTGAAATATTAATAAGCAAAAGGGATAATGAAATATTTAAATACAATAATTTTTAGACAGAATAGATTAAAGAATTTAAATCCAATTATGTGCTTTCTGAAAGGGGAACATTAAAGCATAAACATAATTTACTGAGTCTGAAGTTAATTAATACCTTAAATATTCTTGAAAGTTAAAGAAAAGTGTCTTGGATTTCATCTTTTCTTATGGCTGAGTAGTATTCCATCATATATATGTACCACATCTTCATTCAATCATCTAAGTAAAACTCCATATTTTTACGCATACTATTCCTTCTATTTGGAAGGATATTTTCTGAATTGTCTCTTTCAATTTTTGAAACATATATGAGTATTTTTTTTTATAAGATTTTATCTCTTAATTGAAATATCTAAACTTGTTTCTGATTTCTGATGAGTGTTGTCATTTAACAGATTTTTAATAAGGGCCTACTATGTTCCACGCTCATTTCTAAACACTGGGGATTCAACAATGAACAAAAAAACCTAAAAGGCCCTGACCTTCTGGAGCTTACATTTTAAGAGACCACGTTTTACATTAATGAAATGAAAACCATCATCTTTAACTTCTGTCTAGTCCTTCTATGGCCTCATCACAATGAAAGCATTTTACAGTCTTGAATTTAGTATAATGGCTCCTTTATCTTTGTCCATTTGTTACTTAAGTGGATTGAATTTGAGCTCCTTCAACATCATGGTCCTATTCAGTATACATTACATATTCAAATTTAGTTTTCCATTACTGAGCTGCAATTAAAGACAATTTTGTTCTATTCAAATGGTCAGAGGTCCAATTTATTATCTCTATGATGCTTCTAGAACATTTTGCCTCTGTAGCTCCTAACCAAGTGCATGAAAACAAATGAGTGTGTTTTCAGATACCTGTAGATACATGAGTAGACCCCTCCTGGTGTGCACTCATGACTCAGCCCAAATTCCGTGCACCCTCTGGATCATCTAAACTACAAAGTCTTATCCCGTCATAATGCCTGGAGTTGCTGTCCCAAATTAGGCCTAGGAAAGGCACACTCAAGTAAATGAAGGTTAGAAGGCAGATTTTCCTTTTTCAGTGCTCCTCCTGCCCTTGTTAAGTGGACTGTTTTCTTTATTTGTGCATACTTTCCAGTTTCCATTTGGTTTTCTTTAAAAAATATATATTGTTGGTGGTTTTTAATTTTCTCTTTTCCAGCCTCTGTTTTGGATGTCGAAGCCCCATTTTATAGTACTTGGATGAGTGATATGTCTGAGATCCTGTGTGTACTGATGACATTTTTCACGCCACTCATTTTTGGTCTGCTTTGTACCCTGGAAGGTAAGTGAGATGGTGAGGGTGGGAGCTCTGATGACATTGTCACCTAAACCTCCACCTGAATCCCTTGTATGGTTAACCTGCACTCTGAAACTTCTGTTATAGGGTCAAATAAACTCTGAAAAAATGGCATCATGGGATATCCACATGTTTCTTCTCCATCAGCAAGCAGAATGGGGACATTTTAGCAATAACCTCCTGCCTTGCTAAATACTCATCCCACTACATTACCAAATCCCCTTTCACTGATAGAACACATACGTGTGGGAATGGGGGCTTTACTATTTACATTAAAGACTGGGCAGCACCAGAGAAAGACCTCAGCCCAACCATGCCTAGCTGGTGACCAATTAATTGTTGAAAATTTGCTGCAGATTCACAAGGGAGGTCCCCTTTGATATTTCAATGGAATTCTTCCTTCAACTAAATCATAAGTTTTACATTACTATCATAAGTTATGGTAATGAAAGCACATGTATAGGGAGAGGTGCCATACCATTCATATCATAAGCGATTCTCATGTAAAAATCAATAAAAGCAAAAAGAAAGAGCAGATGTAATAGGCTAAGAGCCAGAGCAACCAATACAGACTTATTTTATACTTTTGTGAATGCTGTGGCTCCAAATCCTAATTAATTATTTAATCATTTTTCTTGACTCAGACTAATAAATCAATGTAGTTCATTTAGAGACCTGGGGGATATATAGTGAGAAAGAATAAAGACCATATCTACTAGTAAGTTGCATATCCTGCCCTTCCAGGCCTGTGAATAAAACTTTGAGAAAATTCCCACTGACTGCAACTTTTCTCATTTTGCCTCAGTTTGGTATTTAGTTCTAGAGGGTTTTTTTTTTTTTTTTCCTGTGATGTGGGTCTTAGATCCTTAAATATTAGTCTTTTTTTTTTTTTTTAAGCATTTCTCCCCATTCTAATTCTAGTATTGGGAATAGAAAAAGGTGAAGATATTTGGGAAGTCACAGAATCTGAATATCTGCACCTTATTATTTACTATCTGTGTATTACACCAACAATATCCCAAGGGAAATGATGAATATAGACATGGATGGGGAAATTGCTACTCCTTAGTAAAAACTTTTTCTAAAAGAGAGTTAAACTTCAATAAGTGTAGATTGGCCCTACTGCTATTTAAATTTAAGTTAAGCTTCAGACCAATTACTAAAATGGCACCAAATAATTTAGATCTGTAAACTCAACAAAGATATTTCCTTCTACTGTGAAGGACGGCTCATGCAAATAGGGCAAGCTATCAGAAAGAAAATTAGGACAAGGGCATGAAAGGCCAGACAAATGTGTGTTTGCCTCAAGAAAGGTTTATATTTAGGCTCTTCCTCCTTCCTGATATGATAATGAAGGCACAAGTACAGGGGGAGGTAGCATACCATCCAGACAATGAGCAATTTCTGTATATGCCAACAGAAAAAAGTGCCATGCCAACAGAAAAGAGTGCCATGCCAACAGAAAAGAGCAGAAGTAACAGCATAAAAGCCAGAGAAGGGCTGTACTCATTCTAACACAGGCTCATTTTATTTCCTTCTTGCCACTGCTTAGGGCTTTCCCTTCTGTCTGAGAAAGAATCAGATAAATTCCAATTGGTCATCATTTTTTATTTTATAGCAGCGGTGGAGATTTATTGAAGAATGAGTACAGACTCCCACATGGAGAGAGGGAAAGAGTCCCACAGAATGGATTCCCAAGTAGGGAGGGGGGAAAGGGTCCCCCAATTGGTCATAATTTGGTAGTACCCACTACAGCTCTAAGCCCTTGAATAGGGGGTTTCTTTTATGAAAGGGGCCAAGTATGTGTCTTGTCCTGGCTTGTTTCTATCTAAGTCAAGCAACTGCAAAGGTGTCAGGCTTCCTTTTCTTGAATTGCACTGCCAAAGGAATGAGTCATAGCTGTGATATGTGAGTTAACATTTCACTTCCAAACCATATCATTTAACTCCCTTAACAAATATATTCTAACTATTCCAATGTGGATTTGAACTACATCTGTCTTGGGAGAGATTTCACTTCCTTGTATAAATGATATACTCCAGATTTGTAGTAGGCAGCCCTCAAATTTTGTGACATGATATTTAAACCAATATCTTTGCTCCTCTGTATGTATCTCTTCATCCACTCAAAGTTCTTGAATAACACATGTAACTTACATTAAAATGATAGTTGATACTGGTTTCTGCTATAGAATTTAACCCTATAAAGCATTACAATCAAAGACATTCTTTTTCTTCTCCAATTTCATTCTGTCTATAAAATGTAGATTTTTATCTTGATTTTCATTATCCTCTGAATGTCAGTGAGTACCATCATGGCCTCTGATGTGCACTCCTCCCCATATCTTAAGTTTAACTATACTTGAATCCATGTACCTCTAATAACAACAGTCACTGCTTCTCTAATAGATACTTCACAAGAATGAACATCTGACTACTCATCTGAAACACAGGACACTTTGGAACAATAGAACCAGTGATGAAAACTTTGAGGAAAAGGTATTTTGGACCAAGGACCTGTATTTTTGTATAGAGCCAAATAATTGCCAGTGTATGAGAGCAAAATAAAAAATTTCATAGATATTTTGTAGTCTTTCAGTATATTTACTACATAAGTATTTTCCTTGCAAATTTACTTGAGAAATTACCTATACCAAGTGTGACCACACCACAGTTAAGATCTCAAGCAACATAATATCTATATGTAGAAAAGTGATAAGCCAAGAAACAAATAAATGTACCATAAGATCTAAATATTTTCCTGCAATAATTGCAATGTATTATTATAATCTATATAAATAAACTTAAATCTCTGATTTTTAAACTGAGACTAAAATTAGGTAAAATTACAAAATAAAATACTTTTGATTCATGACATAGGCTGTGATGGTTATTTGTTAATTTTATGTGTCAACTTAAAGAGAACATATTGACAGCTATCAAAGGAGCAAGATGTTGCAGAGCTGAGTGAAAAAGGTGAAGGGATTAAACAACAACAAAAATAAACTAATTCATACACAGACAACGGTACAGTGATTACCAGAGGAAAAGGAGGGTAGGGGAAGAAAGAAAAGGATATAGGGGGAATAAATGGTCATGGAAGGAGACTTGACTTATGGTGGTGAACACACAGTACAAAATATAGATGACATATTATAGAAATGTACACCTGAAATCTATATAATTTTATTAACCAATATAACTCCAATACATTAATTTATTAGAAAAAAAAAGTGTAAATAAAATTTTGTGCATCAACTTGTAACTATGAGCATGTTATTGGAAGAGATTAGCAATTGAATCAGTAGACTGAGTAAAACAGATGGCTCTCACCAATATGGGCAGGCAACATCTAATCCAGTGAGGGCCCAAATAGAACAAAAAAGTAGAGAAAAAGCAAATTTGTTTTCCTTTTTGGGTTGGGATGTCCATATTCTCCTTCCCTTGGATATCAGAGCTCCTGGTTCTCAGGCCATTAATCTTAAACTGGGGCTTATTCAACTGGTTCCCCTGGTCTTCAGGCCTTCAGACTTGTGCTGAATTATACCACCAGCTTTCCTGGTTTTCTAGCTATAAAAATGGCAGGTCATGGGATTTCTTGTTCTTCAAGACCACATGCACCTATTTCTGTAATAAATTTTCTATTGGGTATATTTTTCTGGGGAACTCTGATTAATATATATGCTTAAAACTTAATGGTAAAAGCATTTTCAATGTAAAAGGATGGAGAAATAAATACTGAGAACATAATAGCTGTATAACTACGCTAATACTAGTAATTATACAGAAATTATACTAGTAATTATGTAATTGTTGGTACATAATAATAATATGTATCAGTGTTTTAAATTTTAGTCATTCTGATTGGCATGTAGTGCTCTCTTGTTGTAGTCTTAATTTGGATTTCTGTGATGACTACATATACAGTATAACTCAGAATAAAGTATAGGGAAAAGCAATATATTTGACTGTAATGCAATTGTCTCAGTGTAAAATGATTAAAAGCAATTGTACATGTCTACATAAGACTTAGAATGAACTGTTGTACCTTAATAAAAAATATCAGAGAAGGAAAAGGTTGGACCTAACACTTCAAAGAAATATATTTTTGAGAATGTGGAATTTAAATTGGTGATTTAAGATGTTAACTTTTGGGGCTTAGAAAAGAAGAGAAAATACAAGAGGGGGATACTGAGTAAGGCTAAGTAAGAAATAGAGTTTTTTTGTAAGATTGGTTTGTTTTTTTAAGCAGTCTTGCTTCTCTCCTAAGTTCTTGGTAATTTGAAAAGGTCCACTGTGAGATCTGTATGATTGGATCAGAACTAGGAACATCCTAATATATAGTTCATTGAATGACAGAGCTAAATAAGTTGTGGAGTTTGAGTGGTGGTTCAGTATATTTTGATAGGATTAACCTTAAAATAAGAAGAGGCAAGGAAACTTGTGATCTCTCTCTCTCTCTCTCTCTCTCTCTCTCTCTCTCTCTCTCTCTCTCTCTCTCTCTCTCTCTCCTCCCCACTCTCTCTTTCTCTCTCTCTCTCCTCCCCACCCCTCCACAAAGAAGAGGTCATGAGAACACACAGTGAGATTATGGTTACCTACAAGCCAGGAAGAGGTACCTTACTGCAAATTAATCTTTAACTTTTGGTTTCCAGAACTTTGAGGAAATAAATGTTGCTTATTTAAGACACCTAGTCTATAGTGTTTTGTTATGGCACCCCAATCTGAGTGATGCATTTCCTCTATAAAACAAGAAGTAAAATGGGAAAAATATGTCATAAATCAACTTTTATCAGAACTCTGGAAACTAACCAAAAGCTTTCAATAACCATGGAAACAATCAGGAAAAAAAAATCTGAATTTAGATAAGAACAGTGAGCTTGCAGTACTTCAAATTACCCTTTTATATTCTGCTCAGTGGTTACCTTGCAAATAACAGCCTGCATTCCCTTCCTAATACTGGAAGAATGGACCTCATTAGCAAAGATATATACAGGGAGGAACCCACATGGATGAGCTAGATGCTCACAAAGATAGAGTGAAGCAAATATTGATTCTTGTTGCTTCTGGCTACTTCAGGATTATTGCTTCTGACCTCATTGAAGAGACTGTATTGTAGAATCTAGGGCCCTTCATCACAGTGTTACACATACATTTGGCATAGGAGTCAGAGATTTGGGAGAATTCATGGAAAGTAGAGCAATTGCAGCTCTAACTGCACATTTTTCTTGTAACCCACTTAACCTGGCAATATAAAAGAAAGAGAATTCTGTAATGTATATTTCAGCCTAGACAAGTTGAATCATTATAAAGCTATTGCAATGTTCTTAAATCAAAATTTTCATTTCTGAGTAAGGATATGTTCAAAATCATCTGAACATAAAATAAGAGAAAAAACAGACACTAGAAACAGACTTAACAGTCACATAGTAAATTAAAATAGTAAAATTAGCTGATAAGTTTTAACTAACTATAATTGATTTGTTCTAGCATGTGAGGAAGAGTTACATAACATTACCATGGAAGTGGAATCTAAGAAAAATACTTGGGATTTCTAGAAGAATAAAATGTTATATTCGGAACTTTAAAAGAAAAGCTCATCAGAAGAGTTTAGCAGCATAGTGGGCAGGGATTTGAGAACTGAGAGACTCTATAGTTGAACATATCCAAACTGAAGAAAAAAAAGAAAAATAGAATATACAGAAAAAGCATTGAGAGGTAAGAGAAATTATGAAAATATCTAACATACATGTAACGAGACACCCAAAATCAAAAGACCATACTGCAGAAGAAATATTTGAAGAAATAATGGTTGGAATTTTATTTTTAAATTTATGTATTAAATGAGGAATGTGAAACTCAAGCAGGATAAATATAAATTTAACCATATCAAGCACATCGTGAACAGACTATGAAAAACAAATGGAAGCAAAAATATTTAAAGCAATCTAATAAAGATACATTGTCTTCGCAGAAGCAATAAGATATCACTGATTTTTTCAACATATAATACAAAGGTTCTGAAACAATGAAATAACCTATTTGACACATTGAACGGAAATAAGTTCCAATTAGGGTTTTGTTTAGGTGACAATAGCCTTTTAAAAAATGTAGGTTAAATAAAGACAATTGTATTACAATCTGAGATAAGAAATTTACTTTAATTTAAGAAGGTATTTACAAATACCACAATATTCTGGTTCTTAAATAAAATTAAAAATAAGGTTATACCTTTACCCTCATGTGAAAAGTGCAGTCAATGCCTGAATTTTTGTAAGCCAGTATTTCTGCTTCAAGTTTTCTAGTTTTTCAGAAAGCATTATCTCCCTGATAATTTAATATGGGAGCTGAGAGCATCCCTTGGCTAAAATGCCACAGATTCCCACTATCCTATATAATAAAGAGGTAATATGCAAATTGGCCATCACTCCAACATACAAGATGGCTGTCCCACATTTGGTCAAAGATAGCTGCCCCCATGTGGACACAAGATGGCCATCACAAGATGGCCAGCAGGGAAAGGCAGTTGTGGGCAATCAGACTAGCAGGGTAGGGCAGTTGGGAGGGACCAGATCTGCAAGAGAGGGTAGTTGGGGGCACCTGCAGGTAGGGGAGGGCAGGTAGGGTCAACCAGGCCTGCAGGGGGGAGGGGAAAGTTAGGAGCAACCAGGCCTGCAAGGAAGGGAAGTTGGAGGGAGGAGGGTCCAGACCAGCAGGGGAGGGCAGTAGGGATGACCAGGCTGGCACGGGAGGGCAGTTAGGGGTGACTGGACCAGCAGGGGAGGGTAGTTGGGGGTGACCAGGCCTGCAGGGGAAAGAAGTTGGGGGAAATGGGGCTTTCAGGGGAGCAGTTAGACATTGATCAGGCTGGCACAAGGATGGTTAAGGGGTGATCAGGCTGGCAGGCAGGCAAGCAGTTGGGAGTCAGCAGTCCTGGATTGTGAGAGGGATGTCCAAGATTGGAGAGGATGCAGGCTGGGCTGAGGGACACCACCCCCTCCCCATGCACAAATTTTGTGCAGTGGGCCTCTAGTATTTAATAAGATTCAGTTAATTTTTTTGAACAAATTCTCTTCAATTTGTAATGTAAAACTAATAATAAACTAAATTATGCACAGGTTATAGTTTGCTGTATATCTCTTTGTTTAAAGTATGAAATTATTTGCCAATTCAGCCAAATATTCAATAAATATTTGTTCTTATTTATTTACCAGACAACTATCTGGAATTTGGTGTGCAGTTTATGTTTTTGTATATATTATGTGTGTGCATGTATTTATAAGTATATACATGAAGTGGCCAGATTATTATGATCTCTGAATGCATGATAATCTGGCCACTCAGTGTATTTGTATCTCAAATAGGTGCCATAAGTATTCTAGACTTTCGCTAGAGATCAACCACCTTCTATCAGCCAGTGCAAAGGGGAAAATTGATCAGGTGCACGATTTATAGTATCTTTGATGTCAAATAAGTGAGCTACTCAAGAGAAGTATACTGACTGGCAGATTATTATGCATTCAAAGATAATAATAATCTGGCCACTCAGTGTATTTCATATATCATTATTTTATTTT